CCTAGCTGTACCTTGGGAGGCGAAGATAGTCACGCGTCCTTCACCCTCGCTAGAATGAGCGGGTACAATCAGGGTCATACAACATCGCGAAGAGAATGAGCTGCTCACAGGAAGAAGCTCCACTCATCCATGGTAGGGTGCCAGTGAAGCTCCCTAGCCAATAGCGTATCAAGCAACGATCGGAACAAGAGAGAGAAAGTCGCTATAACAAACCTAATGGCACCCGGTTCAACGGTGACTTCGGCAGCGGCGATGGTGTTCGAGATTTTGAATGTAGTAGAATCGACTATCCTGACGGAGCCACCGGACAACTGCGTAGGCTTGACCTGAGACAAGGCAAACGTATACGAGTCCGGAACGGTGCCTTGTGGACTGTCGGGAGCTTTCGCGTCATCGGAAGGAACGTCTGCACAAAGTTTTCAACATGCTGCGCCACAGAAATACGAGGAAGCGAACCAGCAGGGAAAATATACAGCTCCTTATCAGGAATATGCGCAAATGCTTGAGGATTGGCGGCCTGGAAATTCTTTTGGATGACTGCGAGGCTATGAGTACTCTTGCGCGTCGAGCATACGAGACCGCTACCTTCTGCTGGGACATGTGCTAACCAATCTGTCAACTAAGTTTGAAATTCAAGATCATATACAACCATGTAGGAGAAATGGAAGCCTACCAAGAAAGTCGAATCCTCGCTGAAGTCTCCATCGTCAAAGACCTGATGTCACGTTAGAAGAGAGGGTAGAGGGAGGGAGGAAGACTTACAAGAATGAATTCAGAACCATCCGGATCGTCGCCAGTTGCTTGCAAGGAATGAGGAACACCGGGGGGGAAGAACCAAAGATCTCCTGGGCCCTAACAGAGTGTCATTGAATCTGGAAGGGGGACGTCTACCCAGTACTGACCACATTGCCGAGGAAGTTGCGCCCCTCAGAATCAACCGCGGTCACTTGAGTCGTTCCCTAGCATGCAGAATTCGGAACACGTAGAGTGATCAGATTTTGTGACTCACTTTCAAGACGTACGCCCACTAAGAAAGATCAGCAGTGGCGGAAATCGCGGGAAAGGAACATTACCTCTGATGTTTTGTGCCAATGAAGCTCACTGAAGAAGATATTAGCATGACATTGACCCAACCTTGATCGGACTTACCGAACTGCACCAGGTTCAAGGCGCATGTTGACACTAGCCATTGCTACGAAGTCTTAGAAGAGGGTGCAAAAGGATTAGGTGTGACCAACCAGTTGCGATGGGCATAACCCCAACTGAATAAGAGATGAGAAGGAGGTCTCATGTCTAATACAAAGACTTACTGTTCTCTTGTCGGGCCCAACCACCAGTCTGGAGGCGGTTGTGACTGAAACTGAAGGGCCATTTGGCGTTTTTACTATAGAAGAGCCCGTTAGTCACGAAGACAGAGAAGGATTGGAACGTACACAGTTCCTGAGTCGGTAGTAGGCGGCGCCAGCAAGTCTGGGTTCTGTAGATCGATAGGTATATTGTCAGGACCCATGATCTTGGAACCGAGGCCCCCGCGTATCGGTTGGACAATGGAAGGATCGCTATCCTCGTTCCAAAGCGGCAAGTTCGGGTCGGTGCTCGTAAATGGAACCGTCGCGGTCGACTTTGGTGCAGAGTCGGTCGAGGAAGCGACTACCGTGTCTGAGGCCGAGGCCAACGATGCTGAAGCCGGCGCAGATGCGACATCAGAGCTGGCGGCGGGTGCACAGTAGGCGAGCCTCGCTAGAAGAACGAGATTGACGAGTCCAAGAGCAAACATGGTCGAAGAGACACAAGTGTGGTACTGATGTAGTTTAGACGCCTTTTAAACACTCAGAGCCTTACGCGACGTTCCATATCAAGAACCGATCTCAACTTGTCGTTAGTCGGGTCATGAATGAGCCCACTACCACACTCTACCATAGCAGTGTGACTTGTAGGTATTGTCAATTGGGATTAATAACCTCCCCGGTACATCGCATGGAAGCACCTCCACGACTACGACGACGAGGTCAACGATCAAGACGAGACCTTGGTCCCCGAAGAAGACGAGCCTCCCGTCACGCGCCAGCGCCTCACGTTAGGAGCTTTCGGGCGGCACCCCCATTCTTCTGAATAACTGAGCACTCGATTCATGGCACAGAAAACGAATAAGAGATCTTACCTGTAAGGGCACAAAGCAACATCGCAGCTATTTTTAGCCATTTTATTCGTCTATGACTGTCAGCTGAGCACAACGTTAACATCGATATCAATGAGTCGTCAAAGCAGCACAAGTTAAGGTAGGTGCGAATTCACGGCGTTTCGGTGTCCCTCGTGGGGGCTCTCGGGTTACGACTAATGCAATAGGCGGAACGCGAAACCGGGGCGCAACTAGTTGAGCAGTATCGCAGGAAGACGCCTTGTCTCGTGTAGAGGATCGAGGTGGCTCCGTTTCAAACTCCGACAGCAATATTCCTTCTTTTGGCCCTCATCATCCCTCTACGCCCGGTACTCTCAAACCTTCCTGGCGAGCAATTCAAACCGAGATACGACGCGGTACTAGCTGGGCACACGATTGCATCAAGAAATAAACAGTGTCGACGTTAGCGAAGGGACAAACGGACGACCACAAACACCGAGAAACGCAATGAGATAGGAAGACTCGGACAATCGGTAATCGGTCGCGTCATGAATGTCAGCGAGCCCAACGCACTGAGGGAGACACTTCTGCTCGTCGACGATGATATTGCTTTGGGCCAAGGAGGGTATGTGGATCATTGCGGACAACAACGTCGAAGGAGGACATTAGGCCCAGGTATGCACATTGCTCTTTTTCCAGCGATTTTGTTGACACTTCTTTCTAGCCCATACTCTACAGGAGTTGCGACGAGTTATCAGGGTGTATATCTGCTTGTCCTCGAATATATCTACATGTTATGTTACCGCGGCGCGCCTCCGTCATACTTTTCCTTCCTTTAAGCATTCCACTATTCCCTGCAACGGTACCTCGTGATATAGGACGAGGCGAACCGCATTCTGATGCGACAAAGGAGGACAAGTGGGTGTCATGAATGCGACACAGACGGACTGACCCAGCGAGTTGAGGACGCTACTACCTCTAGTCAAGAACGACGGCGAGAACGCGACGAGAGGATAGCAAATGATGCGCGAATAGCCGCACTAGAACAATTGATACAGCCTTTTTTGCAATCATCGGAACTACCCATCGTGAATCGGGAGGCGCATGTAAGCGTGTTGTTGCTTTTCTCAGGCCTTACTCAATCACTTCCTAGTCCACTTTACATACATTCGGAGTACAACGAGTTTCTAAGGTCGTTTACTCTGTGGTACATGTTCAGTCGCGCACGAATACACTTGTTACTCCGCAGCCTGCGTCATTTACACAGTTACACTGCTCACCGCGTCCTCCCAGTCCGTAATTCCTTTTCCCCGGTACGTCGTTCTTTACCTTCGAGAGCTCGGCGTCTGTCCCTTCGGCCATCGAAGTAGAGGCAACAATTTGAGGCATGCGGTTTTCGGTGTAAACTTGCGTATTGGTCTTCAGTGATGTTGTCTTCTTCGACCCTCTATCCAGGACAATCCCACGCACTACGCGAATCAAATCCCATATGGCTGGATGCCCCATCGCTCTGGCTAATACTAGACTGGACGCCAGCTCCCCTTGGAAGTTGATTTCAATAGCAATGGACTGTGGCCGCATAGCTCACCCTGTTGCAAGGCCAAATAATCACCACCTATCCTGGATTTTTGCTCATCGCTACTCCTGATTGATGTCAGCATAAACGAGAAACCGAACAATAAAATGTGAAGCGAGAAGATTAAGCAGAATGTTCGGGCCAAGACCGATGCCAAGGTATGTGACTACAGGAGAGTCTATTCGGTCTCGTTGAGGTCAGCAGCCTGAACGAGAATGACTCTGCCAAAAAAAGTACGCGGACTGCGTCTGCTAAACGGTAATGAGCGGCTCACCTAACCGTAGCGGCAGGCTTCAATACATGAGCAGAAATATACGCTAGCGATGCGGGCGGAAGATGGATACCTATTCACCTGCAAATGGAAGGAAATATGATCAGACTGCAAAAATGGTTGGTGCTTGCACGAGCATTGCTCGGTGGGACAGCCACTACACTATCCGACCCGCATGGTATGTAGAGTGTTACCAATGCTGTAGCCAAGGAACGCCGGCACGTGATGCTGACTTGAGGCTCAGGGAGGGTGTGCAAAGAGGTGCGGAGTGAGATGAGGATGCTGGGTGATGACGAACCGGTAGCGCAGATAAAGGCAAGGGCTTGCCAATGCAAAACTGCAAAATCCATTCAATAGGCTCAGTGTGCTGCCTCCTCAAACCGTCAAGAGTAAACAAAACAATATCCAACCTTCATAGGCATACCGCAAGTCAGCAGTTTAACATGTCAGCTAAACGGCCACAATGCCACATCGCATGTCCTGCTACTTGTCAAGTCAGATTCTAAACGATGCAAAAAAAATCCTCCGTTGCATATAGAGTACTAGCCGGACCCAATGAGGCATCTGGCCGTATCACGAGAGCTTGGGTTAGCAGCTCAACTGGAAGACAACCAAAGAAGAGAGGCTTACATCTGCTTCTCGTTATAGTCGGAGGGAGAAGAGGACGAAGGGATAGAGAGGAGCCTCAGACAATGTTGATCACCTTGGCACATGGGCCCGGGAAGAAGTCGAAGAGGCACATTCAGACGCGTCGTGGCATTAGATGTGAGCGTCGGACATATCAATCTCGAACGTCCAGCTGGATGCCGCCAAGCCTCGCCGAGCTCCATGGCCTCGTCGCGCTCCTTCCCATCTCGCTGAGGGTATCTTCATCAGCGCACGAGTTCACTCACGTGGATGGTGGTTTCTGCGCGAAAATGACTGTGCGTCAAGTCCAGATGTATAGCAACACAGCTGTAGGCTCAGTGCTCACAGCACAGCGGAATGCGCGTCTTCAAAACTTATAAGTTACAAAAAGGTGGGACGTCGACCAACTCTCTGGCTGGGAGTCGAACCCAGCTTTCGCGCGTTTATAGTGCGCCAGGATGCCTTTATGACAGGCGCGTGTACTAACCGATATACTACCAAAGAGGTGAATTTAGGTTAAGAAGAGTGATGTTACGTCACGTCGCACGTCTTCCTCTCACCTTGTGCCCATGATGGCGGCTAGGTCAGCGGAGTGCTGAAGAATTCGGTCGAATACGGCGGGGAACTACCTACGGGCATTTGGCGGCGGGATGACCAACACCGGCTTATTGGAGTACTTGGGCGAAGAACCGGCTGCTGAGCGCTGAACGACGGAATTCGGACCTGTCTTTTGAGCGCGCACCGTGGGCTTTTCAGTTTTAGACATACTACATTCCGGAGACTAGGATATGAGCTAGGATATTCAGCGTGCGCAACGTCGACTTCTTCCCCCGCATATCACCGCTTCTCTGAACTTGAAATGGACGTCTCTTATTCTCCTCCCGATTGCCTATGATGCAGGCCGGATAGCACAGTGGCTACTCTACCTAGCAGTAGGAAGTTGAGGTCATCATTTTTGTTTCCAATGCATACCTCGCGTCACCCTCTTGTCGATAGCTATCTCCTTTGTTGTGCGTTCCTGGTCGAGGCGGGCTCCTCTTCAGCATTCCTTCTCACTGGGCTTCTTCTCTGCTTGTCTCCTTCAACCTTTATCTCCTTCTGCAACATGTACCATCTTCCTCCGTCGTTCTCCTCCCAGTCCACACTTGCCTGTCTTGGACTCATCCTCGAATACAGAACCGTCACAGTACGTCTTCTCTTCGCCCAACTTGGATTTGAGGTCGAGACCGACACATGGCATCATTGTTCATGCAAGTCCTGGCAGGTCCCGGCCCACATAATCCCATATCAACATCCATGCTCACGGTCGGATGGCGTAGCCGTTACCACCCGTTTACGTTCGCTCTGGATGTCAATTTTTGCAATGACGCGACCAGTCTACTTGAGTCAAACTGCCTCGTTCGTGCTCGCTTGTATGCCCAGATAGCTCATCGTGTCTGGCCATTCTATTGGTTGTGCCATGAGTTTTTTCTGCTTTTTACGCCTCGCAACCTGACTGAGAATACGTGCAATCCCCTTGAACAAGTCCTCGCGGCTCGCTATTCCTCACCTCCACGATGTGGCCGTCTTCTTCCTTCTTTGCCCTTCGCTACGAACACAACTTCATCTTCGCCGTCTTCAACTCGTATCCCTCCTGAGCCGAGTCAGCCAGCTCATCCGGGCAACAACCTCACCACCTCGCCACCGAGCCTCACGATACAGGTCGGCGAGGAGGACGTCTTCCGGGAGTAGCACGTCGAAGGACGAGTGACAGGAGGAAGTCGCTTGTAGAAGAGCACCTCACAGGAGGAAGAGGATGCCGCCTCGCATTCTGTATGGCGGAGGAGCTAGTGGAGCTAAGGCCATCCGACACGCCCCGGCGTCTCTCCAAAGAGTTGTGTCCACCGCGTCTATTGTTCATCAAGCTACCATCAAAATGAAAGCGCATTATGTTCCGGTGACCGCAAATCTTTTGCCATCGGGATATCGGCACCCCCGTCGAAAATGACCTGATGGCCGCTTAGAGAGAAACTTGGAGTGGGATACACAGGTTGCGCGGTCTTTGAAGGGTGTAGAGCTTCGTCAACAAAACAGGGTGATGTTGCGTCGTGCTGTCACAACTTTGCCCTGTTCTCCTCTGTGCCGGTAGTTGTTACGGCCCGCGACCGTCGTGTTACGAACACAACAACAGTTAAAAAAGGTAAGCTTCATGGAGATCATGCGGTACGGAGAAGCCGCTAGGCTATGCATCCACAACACCGTATCACAGTTGCATGCACTCAAAGACTGCCAGGTAGAGTCAGGTACACACCGGGGCCATGATTAACACACGAAGAAGCGTGTAGAGACAAGAAATAGGAAGCTCATATAAAAAGGCTTAGAGTCTGCAAACATTGTCAACAACACATTCCAGCGCAGCCCGAGTCGACTGAGCTAGCTGGCCATATGTGGGTTACCATTATTTCGAGCAACGAGCGTCAAGACGCCTATCCGAGCTTCAAGACCTGACCAAAGACATTCGCTTAGTTTCCGTCACACGGGTGAGGATGCATGCCCATGAATGGTTTATTTTAGGTACAACGGTGCAACCGGTTTGAAGGACCGAAACCCCGGACATTGGCCACTTGAAATGGAGATGGAGACGGCCACCAAAAGGCTAGTCGGAAGCGGTCACGCCACCGAGAAGCAGCCAGGGAAAATGAAGAAAATACGAGGAGGACGCCTGCGAGGACACCGAAGCCGTTGGTGAAGGAGTCGAAGACGCAGGTATGCGGGGCGGATAGGAAGACTAGACGGGAGGCGCACGCGATGACGGCCATAGGGGACGTTTATCCGGGAGTGAGGAGGAGGTGCGCGCGCGTCCTCTTGGCCTATATAACGGAAGAGCGTACGGAAGTGCTTACGTCCGTTGTCGTCCCAACTAGTCTTCGCCTGTCGCTCGTGGCTGCCTGTCCATAACAGAGCTCGAATCGAACATGCCCGTGGGAGAGAATGCGGAGAGCTTGGGCTTCCTAGCGTGTCGACATGAGTGTTTTGAAGAAGACCGCTTACGTCATACGCGACTTTCTCTCCTCGCGTTCATGAGTGATTGGTCGCCTCAGGACATTCTCAGGTGATGTCTATGACGAGATCATTTCCTCCGGCAGCCAGGAGCTCGCGCGGAAACCTGGCGGAAACATATCGACTGGACCGAGTCGTCCCAGGCTCCAAGCTCCAAGGCTCGGGGCGGTATCTTGTATGTGAGCAGCGGCCACTTGGGCAGCGTTCACGAATCACTTCCTTGTGGCGTTACTTGCCGCGGAGACTTCAGGAATCAATGCAAGCCAAGTAGTACCCATCTCCCACTCCGCCAACTCTTCTTTCTCTATATCGGGGTTCACCACTGCTTATTCGTCTCTCAGAATCCTCCTTCGGACGTGCTACTGTCCAATGATGTACGTCAGGATTTTATTGTCGTCTTGACTGTCTGATACGAGACTTGATGCCTGTTTGTCTCCCACTCTATGTAGGTCGGATGGCGCAGCAGCTATCACACCGAGCATAGCATCAGGAACGACCTGTTGAGACCTCTTTTTCCCCTGATGGCTTCCTTGATGTAGTCCGTCTTTGGTGGCTAGGATTTATCGTCCATCATGTATCGTTCTCGATGGCCCACGTCTTCATTCTTCAACATACACGCTTTCCTCAATCTCAGCCCTCGATCGGGCTTCACGCTCCGACGTCTTCCTCGCTCTAGCCCTGTATCCTCCGTTCCAACTCTCCTCGTCCGGGGGACGTACTATGCTTCTTCTTTCCGTATCTATTCAGTGACTCACTGCTCTCGATACATAAACATCTTCTCGTGCGCTTCTCATCTCGTTGTCCGCAAAATATACTCTCACCTCCTTATCACAAGCCCATTTTGATGTGCGTGTCCACGGTAGGATGGTGTAGCTGTCATGCGCCGTTTGCATAAATTGGCCATCCATTTTTTTTCACTCTTCTTCTGTTTCGGTTGCTAAAGGAATTTTAGGAGTCTTTTCTGGTAGTACTTACCGTTGATGAGGGTTGTTCGACGATAAATGTGCTCCTCACCTACCGAGACAATCTCGCCAGCTATACTCCCAAGTTGATGTCCATGTCCACGGTCGGATGGTGTAGCTGTTGTCCGCCGAACTGCGTTGGCCAGCTGGCAGCATCATATATGTTCTTTTTCCTTCAATTATACTTTGGGCAGGATGCCATTGTGGCACGGTAAATGGCGGAGTGAGTACGCTCGAAACAAACCTGTTGACAATGTTCAATACGCATCGCCGTCGTCACGGCGGCCTGTCCACAGTGCCTACGTCTGATTCTCTCAGAATTCGAGCTGCTTCAAGTGCGTCGTGCGAAATTGTGGCCGCGTAGCTCACCTGCAACGGAGACCGAATCGCTTCGAACATTCATCGTAATTTTTGCTCAAGTTGAATGTCTCAACTAATTCAAGCTGCAAGTGAGAGGATGCCTCAGGGCAGGGAAAGGAAACAATACTGGAGAAACTCGGACTGGAAGAGCACAAAAAAGATAGTGAGATGAATTAAAGGAAAGCCATTCAAGTCAAGACTGTTGAGATACATGACCACGGTCGATGGTGTCGTAACAACGCAGTACAAGACTACTTCTACGCGACAGCATTGGTAGCTGAGAACCAAAAAGCAGCATCCAGCAGGAATTAACCTGGTTAACGGCCGTGCCATCGGATTGAGACGATAGTATCAAACGTACCATGCGACGAACGGGAGCATGCCCGACGGACGAACTGGTTGAAAAGATTGAGGATGCTGTGCGAACATTTGAAAAAAATCTTAGGAGGAGGACTCACGCTGAATGAGAGCCGTTGAGCTATCCCACTTGCATGGAGAGTCAAACAGTAGACAACCATGAAGAGGAAGCGGGATAGCACCGGTCGCCGCCGTGTTGACTGTAAGTCTGAAGAACAGGACGCAGAGGAATCGATCTGAAAAGGCAATGATGAGTGAAAGGACGAGTCGGGTATGGAAGGAGAGAGGGACCTTGCTGGTGGAGGACAGGCAACGAAGAGGAGTTGGGCCAGGCTACACCAAAGGAGATAGTGGGTACTAAAGCAGAGTACGATTCAAACGAGAAACAGGAGAATGGAGAAAATCATTGGTACAATCATTGGAACTGCCGCAAAGCAAAGCAAGACAAAAGTCGTACACATCTTATCC